CGTCCCAAAACAATGTCAAAGCGTCCCCAAGAAACATACAGAACCGGCTACGCTCTGACTCCCAAGAAAGAGCAGAGCTTCATTCAACCGTCTCTCCTCCGTCACGCCTCCGAACGCGGTGTCTTTCTCACCAGAATCGACCTCGGCAAACCATTAATCGAACAGGGACCGTTCGATTGCATCATCCATAAATTATACCGGCCGGATTGGAAGCAGCAACTGCAGCAATTCTCCTCGCGAAACCCTCATGTACCCATCATTGACTCCCCGGATTCAATCGAGTTGCTCCACAGCAGAATCTCCATGCTCGAAGTTGTCAACAAATTGAAATCCACAAAATCTGGTTTCCTTGAGAGTTTTGGGGTTCCGAATCAACATGTTGTTTTAGACGATGGGGATTTGGATCGTTTGATGGAAGGAGATGCAGTTGAAGAGTTGAATTTGAAGTTTCCGGTGATTGCAAAACCGTTGGTGGCGGATGGTACCGAAATATCGCATAAGATGTTTCTAATTTTTGATAGGGGTGGATTAAGCGGGTTGATTACGCCGGTTGTGTTGCAAGAGTTCGTGAACCATGGTGGTGTCATACTCAAGGTCTACGTGGTGGGTGGGTACGCCAAGTGCGTGAAACGAAGGTCCTTACCGGATATCTCCGAGGAGAAGATGACGGGTTCATTGCCGTTTTCCCAAATATCAAACTTAGCAATGGAGAAGGATGAAGGGTCTGGTGATTCTGTAAATTATGAAGGAGCAGAGATGCCGCCCGAGAATTTGGTAATGGAGTTGGCAAAAGGGTTGAGGGAGGTGACAAGATTGAATCTTTTCAATTTTGATTTGATTAGGGATTCTAGGGATAAAGATAGGTACCTTGTTATTGATATCAACTACTTTCCTGGGTATGCGAAAATGCCAGGTTTTGAGTCTGTTTTGACGGATTTCTTCTTGGATGTTGCTCAGAAGAAGAGTGTTGGTAATGTTATTGAATGAAAGGGAAACTGTGATTGTGTCTTCATGTTGGATTACAGATTGTTGGGTTCTTTGGCTTGATGAGCGATGGCTTCTTGGCTTGTGCCTGGAGATTGCTAGGCTGTATTGGATTTTGATGGCGTTGTTCTGCATCTGGCGCTTGTTGGGTACACTGTTCTCATTGTGCCAAATTGAGAAGTGTTCATATTTTTCTTTTCATTCTTTATTTGATACTTCAGTCTGACTGATTAATCTAGATCTGATCCTGTCTTTGGGGTACAATGCATGCTTGTTTACATGTTTTAATTTTGGTTTCTCTTTCTGAATGTGGCATGCATGTATTTTCCCATGTGCCTGGAAAGAAAATTAACAAAAAAGCTTGATTGCTAATTTCTATTTGGATTCCTTGGTTCAATTCAGTCTTTCATAAGTTTTATAATTGAATGGGACCAATGCATGTTTTCTGTACACAAGATTGCAACATTGCAATTTGTTGTGTAGGGTAGTGCAGATAACGTGTTTCTTTCATTTTATTAGGAGGAATTTAACATGTAATACAATACTCAGATGCATTTCTTCATTTTATTTCTGCAACTTATTCAGTCAACTACTTAATTGTTGCGTGTCATGATCCTTGCAAAGGCATGCCTTAAGGGACTGGCTAGTAGTTTGAGATTGGAATTTTATGTTGGAGTAGTCAGGTTGAAATCTTATGATGGTGAAAGGGGTTTAGGATGAACAGAGAGGGTTTAGGAAGAGGGAGGTTGAAATCTTAGGATGAATAGCTTTGGCCTTCAGCTGATCTCTTACAAAAAGCCATAGCATGAACCCATGTCACAGCACTACACCTGCCCACACAAGTTATGCCAAAATCCTTTAGGTTGTTTTGCTAGAGAAAATAACTTTTTCGCTTGGCACCCATATGGCACTGTCACCAAAAAAGGTGCTTCTCATTTCAGCTACAAGCCTTGGATATTGTCTTTCAAAACTACTAGGAATTTGCCATGAGCCATCCTGAACCCATTGTTGCATTGTAATATTTGATGTCCACAAGGTTCTGTCAATTGGCAGTCCATCACAAAGTCGGAACTACCCCCACCTACGAATCATAAAACAATCAGACTTGATATCCATTACCAAGCTTCATCTTTATATGGCTTCTCAAAATGTCCCTAAGAGGAAGTGATATACAATCTGCAGGGACTTCACAAGTACAAACCATAAATTCTTCCCCTCAGTTTCTCCTTACACACCTAGCCCATAAAGGATCCAGAGCCCATCCTGTCCTTGGGTAGATAGCGTGTTTGCTTGCATGCTGTAATTTCAGTTTTACTTAACTTTGATATGCAAATATTTTTGCTTGTTTTGTGGAGAAAAATTGAGTTAAAAAGCTTCAGTTTTGCTAAACAGGATCCTATTTGGTTTGCTTGTCTTAGTTCAAGTTTATTGATTTTCAGTGTAGTTTCAGGGTGTATGGTTTGAATGGTACCAGTACACGTCATTTCTGCACAACTTCGCAAAAATTTATAGTTTAAATTCAATCTAGTTTAGAAAAATTTCTTTAAGTGGGGAACTTAAATTGCAGTTTAAGTCTGAATTTGTAGAAGGATCTTGATGTTCGCAATCTAATAATATAATATCACATTAAGCTGCATCTTTAACTTTTGCCTGTTAAAAAAATTCTTCATTTATTACAAAAGAATTTTGCTCCTACTAAAATCCTTTAGGCTAGGTGTGGGCATGTGTTTCATGATAACTGGTCTGAGATTTTCCTCTCCACCATCTGGAAATTTTGGAAGGGTAGGAATAAATTCATTTTTAAAGGGCAGAGGATCCCTCTTAATGTTGTTCATGATCAGGTTTCTGCCCTAGCACTGGACATGCATATTGCCCTTGTTGTGTGTGAGCTCATGACCTTCTCCTTATTCACCTCACTGGGTGCATTGGTCAGCACCAGCCTTGCCTTACCTGGAGTTAAACACGAAGGGCTCTTTGGATCACTACCTGGGGAGGGCTTGCGCAGGAGGTGTCATTCAGGATCACCTGGTAGATGGCTCCATGGCTTTGCAGAGCATATGGGCACCGCTATCAGTTTCTTGGGGTGAGCTTTGGGGTTTGTAGGGAAGGTACGCGGCTGGCACTATCAATCGGCATTCAGCATATTATCCTTGAGATGGACTCATTACGGGCTATAAAAATAATCCAAGCGCGCAAACGGATTGAGGGTTCGGCTTCGGTTTTGCTTTTGGATATCTACTCTTTGCTTGATTCTCTCGGTTCCTACATTGTGTAGCATGCTCTCCGTGGGGGCAATTCTGCAGCAGATTTCAGGGCATCTCTAGGACATGACTTACCCTTGGGTTCATCTTTTTACCCAGAACCACCGTCGGGCGTTTGCACCATATTGCAAAGGGATCTTTTGGGAGTAGCATTCCTTTGAATTTAAGGCTGTTTTAAGCTTGCAATGTTCCAAAATAATAATAATAACAACAATAATAATAATAATAATAATGATGTTGTGCTTTTGAATCATCTTGTGCGTGAAAAAGCGAATTTAATATCTCTACAGAAACATAGGTGTTGACCCAACTATATTTCTTTTAGGTTAAAATTCAATTTTAGTCAAAGTTGTCAATACTGTACTAATATATATATCAATTTTGCTATTGGAACAATATATATTGAATACCGAAATTTTTTACATACTATTTCGGATTTAACGCTTTAAATATATATTTTTATAAATTAAATATCAAAATTTAAAATAATGATAAGATAAACTAATGTTTAAAACTATTATATTTTTATAAATTAAAAATAAGTTTAAAATGACCAACTTTATAAAACTTTTATAATTTTTTTCTTTTTTTTTTTTTGAACATTAAGATAATATTAGAAAGTATAACAGTGTTTTAAGTTTAATATAATATAATTCATAATACAAAATACTCCCACAAGGAAAGAAATCAGGTCTTCTAAGTATAACAAGAATGCAAAAGATTGTTAAAAGGAGCGATGGCGAACACGACAGTGACTACTATAGGCAAGGAGTAGCGGCGAGGAATGACAACAAGGAGTGAGAATGAGCCCACCGATAAGAGATCTCTTCCTTCGAGGCTGCCAATGTACGATCGAAGCCTTCTGAAGAATGCTACCTCCTACCTATTCACAAACTTCCCTGAAAACTAGTCTCCTAAGCGACTTTGGTACCTGTTTGCAACCTATAGTGTTGGATTTGGAAAAATTGTGGATGTGTTTATTCCCAAAAGAAGGACAGAAAAGGCAACAAAATCAAATTTGTGAGATTCTTTGATATCAAAGACAAAGGCAGGTTGGAGAAATCACTCAAGATGATCTACTTTGGAATAGAGAAACTCAGGGTTGCCATAGCCACTGACAAAAAGCCACAACAGTTAGTCCCAAAACCATCTCGCCCTCTACCACCCCCACCACCCCCTGGAACCTTCAAATTGAGATCTTATGCAGATGTCCTTTTGAACAGGCCAAACCTTATAGATTCTACGAACAATAACCACCAAGAAAATACCATACCCCAAACCCAACCAATGGAAAATGCCAAGGAAAAGAGGAATGCGATGGCTATCCTGGAGGTGGACAACGACATGGTGGATTCCACTTGGCTTTCAAATTGTGCTACTGGTGAGGTTTTTATCCCGGATCTCATCCCTGGTCTCCAGCAAACATTCTGGGAAAATGGATTCCCATCTATCTTAGTCATTCCAATGGGGGGACCCAAAGTATTGCTAAAAGTTGATGATTGGAACATAGTAACTAAGCTTATTGAGGAACATGAAGCATGGTGGTGTAAATGGTTTAGTAGAATCAAATTGTGGAGCCCACTGGACATAGCTGAAGAAAGGTTTGCTTGGGTCAGAATAATTGGTCTTCCATTACAAGTTTGCAACCAGAGAATGTTCGAGAAAGTCAGGAATCACTTGGGAAATTTCATCAAGGTGGATCCTTATACAGCTAAGAAAGTGTGCCTTGATGCTGTTAGAGTCCTACACAACAATTGGAACAAATCAGATTGAACAAGGCATTTCCTTGAATGTTCGAAATCATTTCTACTAGTTAAAAATTATAGAAGAAAGGTGGTGGATTGATCCTTAGTGGTTAAAGGCATCCCAAATTTATGATAGTGCAAAATCTGAGTTTGATGATCTTTTTGATTTGGACTTTGATCAAGCCTCTAGTAGATGGAATGCTCCCTCCGATGAGGAAGTTGAATAGCCAGTTCATTTAGTCAAAGATCAGTTTGTTGGGAAATTTGAAATGCTTACAAATGCTGTTAGTTCCAAGAACATTGTTTTGAGTAATGATGTAGTAGCTTTGGAAAGTGATGCTAAAAGAAGTATAGAAGGTCCTATGTCAGAATTTGGCCGCGACAAATTTGGTTCTCAATCTTCTATTGATTCTCGCTCAAGTGGAAAGGAACCCAAAGACCAAAATACCCCAAAAGACTTAACAACGGTCCACACCAGCCCAATTCAGAACACTCCCCTAAGAACTTTGGCCCATGACCAACCGAAGACATATCACCGTCAAGATTCAAACGATCTACAAAATGTTGCAGATCTTCGTAACATAGAATCCTTAAATGTGTCACAAGATTGCACCGTGGAGTGAGGAAGAAGAAACCAAAGCAAGTGAAAAGATGCAAGAGGTGATTGTTTGGATCCAAACGTTTAGGGCCTTCTATATCAAACAATTTTATGGAAAGAAGAAGCAGGTTATCAGTGAAAGAGGTGAGCGAAAAGGATATTAGAAGATTTGTGGAATTTGGCAAACAATTAAGGCTTTGTTTTGTGGGAAATGAAGAGCTCTTTGCATCAAAATTTTGTGAGTTGGAGGAACACGATTTAGGGTATCATTTGCCTTAAATCTTTCCTGTCTATACTACCAAAATTCTTCTATTGATCAATGAAGATTGTCACATTCAATACTCGTGGGCTTGGGAACAACATCAAGTGGAAAGAATTAAGGAGTATGGTTCAATGAGAGCATGTAAACTTCTTGATGATTCAAGAAACAAAAGTTAAAAGGGTTGATGATTAGTTGTGTAGATCAATTTGGGGGCAAGATAGTGTCAAGTGGTGTGCAAAAGGCTTTAAAGGTAAGGGTGGTGGTCTTCTATGTTTATGGGATCCTAGCTTAGTTGAGAAGATTGAGGTGTTTGAAGGTGATGGCTTCTTGGGTGTTGAGGGATTATGGGGAAAAATAAAATCAAAATGCTGCTTTTTGAATGTGTATGGTCCTTGTAATGTCTCTGGTAGTGTAAAATTGTGGGAAGACTTATCCAATCTAATTAAAGCTCAAAATTGTTTCTTTTGCATTGCTGGTGATTTCAACTGTGTCAGGGGATCGCATGAAAGAAAAGGTAGAATGACTTCTCATCCTGGATTTGACAATTTCAATCTATTTATTGAATCAAACTACCTTGTCGATTTACCCCTTTCAAATAGGAAATTTACCTAGTATAAGAGTAATGGGTCTGCTCAAAGTAGATTGGATAGATTTCTCTTGTCAGAGAATTATCTGGAATTCTGGGGCAATTGTGTTCAACTTGCATTAAAAAGAAGCATCAGTGACCACTGTCCTATCAGCCTAAGCTCAAGCAACCATGATTGGGGTCCCAAACCTTTCCGATCTATAAATAGTTGGACCATGCACCCCAACTTTAATCAAATGATTGAGAACTTGTGGAATTCCTTTGAAATTGAAGGATATTGGGGGTTTAAATGCAAAGAAAAGGTCAACAAGCTTAGGCAACACTTGAAGACATGGAACAAGGAAGTGTTTGGCAATATTGACAGCCACCTTGAAAAGGCATTGAAGAAAGTTGAGATAGTCAGTTTTAGATGTGAAGATCAAGATCTTTTAGATGATGATATTCTCCAAAGAAAAGATGGATTTGCAAAACTATGGTTTTGCCTTAAGAAGAAAGAAAGTCTATGGCGACAAAATTCAAAGGCAACCTGGATTAAGGAGGGCAATGCAATATTGGTTTTTTCTAGAAGATTATTAATGGTAAGAGAAAGAAGAATATGCTCTAGGAGATCGACAACCATGGCTCTTGGATTGATGACCCCATGCAATTGAAGTAGATCATTATGGATCACTTTAAAAACCAATTCTCTTCTCAATCTTACCAACAACCAAGACCATGTCTGGAGCACCTAGGATTCAACAAATTAAATGAACAGGATAAGATTATGTTGGAATTAGAATTTTTAGATGTTGAGATGAGAGATGCTGTTTTTTCTTGTGCAAATGACAAAGCTCCAGGGCCTGATGGTCTTAACTTTCATTTTATCAAGACGATCTGGGGTACAATTGAAGGGGATGTTATTAACTTCATCAAAGAGTTCCATTGAAATGGGAAACTAGTTAAAGGCCTAAATTCATCTTATATTATGCTAGTCCCTAAAAAGAAAAATCCCACATCCCTGAAGGAATTTAGGCCGATCAACATGATTGGGTGCCTATACAAAATCCTGGCTAAGGTGCTTGTTAACAGACTTCAGAAGGTAATTGGTAAGGTGATAAGTGTAAGCCAATCTGCTTTTCTAAAAGGAAGGCAACTTGTTGACAATGTTTTAGCTATAAATGAGCTCGTGAATGACATGAAAAGTAGGAGAAAAAAGGGTATTATCTTTAAAGCAAACTTTTGAAAAGGCTGTTGATTCTGTTGATTGGGGCTATCTAGATACAATTCACCATCTACTTGGTTTTGGTGAGAAATGGCGAAGTTGGATCAAAGAATGCTTATCGTCTGCTTCTATTTATGTTCTTGTCAATAGAAGTCCAACACAAGAATTTAAGATGCAGAGAGGATTAAGGCAAGGTGACCATCTTTCTCCATACTTATTCCTTATTGGTGTTGAAGGCTTGCATGCTCTTCTCCTTGAGGCAGAGATGAAAGACATGTTTAAGAGGGTGGTGGTTGATGAGAATACTTCAGTTTCTCACTTTTAGTTTGCTAATGACACTGCTCTCCTTTGTGAAGCTTCTACTAATTCAGTTTGGACTATCAAATGTGCATTGAGATGGTTTGAGATTATGTCTAGGCTTAAAATCAATTTCAATAAAAGCATTCTATATGGGATTAATGTGGATAAGCAATGGCTTAGCATGGCAACCCTAGCCTTGAATTGTAAAGCTGGGAAATTACCTTTTATTTACCTTGGCCTCCCTGTTGGTGGTAACCCGCATTGTCATAGCTTCTGGAAATCGGTGATTGAAAAATTTTGATCTAAATTGGCATCTTGGAAGGGCAAGCTCTTATCATTTGGTGGCCATATCATGCTTTTCACGTCAGTACTCTCTGCTTTCCCTCTTTTTACTTCTCTGTTTTTAAAGTTCCTAATGGCATCCTAAAAGAACTTATTAGAATCCAAAAAAACTTCTTATGAGGGGATTTAGATGAGAGTAAAAAGATTGCTTGGGTTAATTGGGGTAAGGTTTCTCTAGCAAAAACTAAGGGAGGTCTCGATATCCCAGACCTATCCATTAGGAACATTGGCCTTTTAGTAAAATGGTGGAACTAATTCTACGATGATGCTGAAAATGAGAACTTATGGAAAAAGATTGTTGTTAGTAAATACTATGCTGGCTCTACATCTAATTTTATCCACAACACTACATCCTCAAGATTATCTTCTCTTTGGAAGGACATTTTATCTATTGACAGGATATGTGATAGAACCATCATGAGTTTTTCCAATGGCTTCACACATCAGCTTGGTGATGGCTCAAAAACTAGCTTCTGGAATGATATTTGTTTGGGAAGCTCTCCTCTAAAGCTTGAATTTCCCTGACGATTCAGCCTCACTTTGGACCAAGAATCAACAGTTGCTGATTTGAAACCAACCAATAGAGAGAGCTGGAATCTTCAATGGCACAGATCCCCCTGTGGAAGAGAGCTGGATGAACTCGAGATATTGCAGGACATTTTGCGAAGTGCTACTATATCCAAAGGCAAAGCTAAAAGAAAATTTTGGAAACACTGTCCCTTAGGATATTCTACAAAAATGGCATACTTGTTTCTTGGTGTGTCTCCTTCTTGCCTTGATGAGAACATTTGCAAATTGATATGGAATCAATTGATGCCAGCTAAAGTTAGTGTCTTCATTTGGCACCTCTTCTTAAATCGCCTCCCCACCAAGGATAACCTCATACAACGTGGGGTTGATTTAGTATTCAACCCAGCATGCATCCTATGTGGTAGTTATATGGAAGACGTAAATCATGTTTTTGCAAAGTGCAAATTTTCTCAAAGCCTGTGGAACCGTATATGCTGTTGGTGGGGACTCAAATTCATCCATACTGATCACATCTCCCATCTACTTCTTCAGCTTTGCTCACTTCCAATCCCGAAGAAAGCATGCCACCATTGGGCTCTTACCATCTTTACAACAGCTTGGGCCATTTGGTACTCTAGAAATGGTATTGTTTTCAACAAACTTTCTTGGGATGAGAATTATATTACAGACTTAGTGCAAGTTAAGACTTTTGCTTGGATTAAAGGAAGGTTGAAATCTGCTGGTTTTTGCTTAAGTGACTGGTGTCAGTTTCCAATTCTTTGTACAATCTAGTCCTAACTCCTTCCCTTTCCCCTTCTCTGTTTCTTTTTTTTTTTTTCTTTTACGGGTTGATTCCCCTTTTTCTTCTTTTTTTTATTAAATTTTTGTTTTTGTTTTTTAAAAAAAAAAAAAAAAAAGAATGTAAAAGACAAACCAAAACATTACTAAGAAGAGAGCAAGTATTGAGAACTAGAAGTTTAAATCTAAAATTATTAAAAGGGACTAAAAATACATATTTTTAGTCCCTTAACTTTTAATATATGCATATTTTTTGTCTCTTCACTTTAAGTTAAGGGACTAAAAATATGCGTATTTAGACAAATTTTATGGAGTAACTGATAGAAAGACTAAAGCAAAAACATTTTTCATAGTTGATGGACTAAAAAAGTAGATAAAAAGGTTAAAGAATGAAAATTATGCAAAACATTAAAGTTGAGGACCAAAAAAGGAATTTAACATTTTTAAATTTGAATTGATTTGTACTGGCTAATTTCTGGTGTACTGGCCGGTACGTTGAAATACCAGCCGGTACACCGGAATTTGACCAAAATGGGTGGAATTTGATTGAAACGAAATTGCACTTTGTACCATTTTGGCTTAATGAAAAAACCGGTACGTACTAACTATATCGGTCAGTACAAAACAGTATCAATAACATTGATT